ATTAAGTAACTTGGTATCATTTTCATGTGAGGAAGGAGCAATAATTGAAGCCATCCATTTTCAGTTCACAGGAAACATGACTCTTCACGTTTAATGGCACCATTTACCCACTGTGTCCTTCTGCCAGTGCTTTGGATGATCCAGCTGTGATTCTCTGGTTTGATTTCAATGCACTCATATCTCACAACCGTGAGAAGATGCCTGTTCAAGATGAATCAACCCGAAAACCCATCTGAGAATGCAGAGATGTGAGCTGCATCCCACAGCTTTGGCTGAAGGCAGAAGGAACGGGGCAGAAGCGAAGGCCACAGTGCTTCTACCTGTAGTTGTTCACCTGGGAAATGAAAATGATCCCACTGACGTTGCAACATCAGGAAACATCATGGTCTGATGGAAGTTAGAATATGTGTCTAACAGATGTTCATCTGCCAGGAATTTTCCCCAATTTATCCAGCCTTCGCATGGTGAGTCACCCAGCATCTGCAGAATGACAAAGCCCTGTCCACACATGATGTTCTGAGAAGTGGTTGGCCTATCTACTGAAGAGTCTTACTAAAATCAATCCCTAGGCTACATTCTGCACAAACCAAGCGATGCAGCCAGGCTGTCTGCCTAATGCTCTGCCTCAGAGAGAGCTGGAGGTGCTGCCCTTCCCCTTCAATCAGCCCTTCCCCTCCCCACCCCCAAGAAAAGGGACAATGCTATGCATTTAGTAAGTTGTTTTTTTTTTGCTTGAACTCAGGGCTTGGACAATGTCCCAGAGCTTCTTTTGCTCAAGGTTGCACTCTACCACTTGAGCCACTGGGCCACTTCTGGCTTTTTCTGTTTGTGGGATCTTGAGGAATCGAACCCACGGCTTCATGCATGCTAGGCAAGCACTCTACCACCAAGCCACATTCCCAGCCCCATCATTTAGTAAGTTTTATGTCCAAGGGAAAATTTTGTATTTTGAAGTGAATCGGAAGTAGAGAAGGCAAGGTTGCACTGAATCCGACTGTTAACAAGTTCAGCCCTTTTAAACAGAGATACAGCATTTACAAAAGGATCCAAGTATTACTCGTGACTGTGAAGACTTTGCATAAAGCACAGGAATGGACCAAAGCAGACACTAACCCTAAACTAAACAATCCGAAGCCTAAACATAGATGCAAATAACGTTGTGCTAGAGGAATGCATGCTGGCTTGGGAGACTCGGAAGCTGTTAACAGGGGGATATCAGCAACTGAGCAGCTGGGGGAAAAGAAATTTCATAGAAAAATTGTAACCCGTAAGTGAGGGTTACTGGTTGATCAGCTGCTGTAGGGAAGGATAGAATGTGAGCAGAGAAGAACCATCACAAAGGCTAGCTCAGCCCTTTGGATAGGGCAGGGCTCACCACCGAGAAGGAACAGGACGCACAGTGGCAAGCTGTGCAGACCAGGCTTTGTCCCCAAGTGCAGGCTTTGGAATTGGTGCTGCTAGTCGTTGCCTTTTCTTTTAAACCAGAGATGAGCACTTCGCTAATCCTTTTTGTTTTGTTCCTATAGCTGCATCGAATGGTAAAACAGCGTTCGTGAAGTTTGGCGGTTCGATTGCTGCTTGCTGAGCTATGGTCGGGGCTCTGGCTGGCTAGGGTGGGAAGTTAGGCAGGCAGCGCCGGCTCGGCGCCCACCCTGAGTGTGACCGGGCGCACGGCCTGCCCGGCCCGGTGCCCCGTCCCCCCCACCCCAGCCCCAATCCCGCGATTCGCCGGCTCGGGTGGACGCGGCGGGAAGTTACTTTCCATCAGCAAGGCGCACGCGTGCCTTTGCTCCCATCGCCCCCCGCCCCGGCCTCAGCATCTCTGTGGACCAAGTTGCTCCGCAGGGATGAGCGGGGCGGCTCGCCTCGGGGCCCCGGGGCAGGACTGCGGCCGCGGTCTTCCCGCCCCGGACGGCCCTCGCCGGGAGCTGCCCGCCACCTCGGCTTCTCCCTCCTTTGCAACCAGACCACATTCCCGCATGTTTGGGTCTGTCTCCCCAGAACCAAAGGGCTGGGACATCAACCACGCCAGGCACAGGGATGTTCCCAGGCTCGGGTTCCTCCGCCTGAAGCGCTGCTCCTCCTGCCCCGCCCAGCTAGGCTGGAAACTGGAACCGCCCACCGCCGGGCCCCGCCCACCAACGGATCAGGCCCCGCCCATGAGCTGCCCAGGCCCCGCCCCACTGAGAGGACACACTATCTGGGCAATCTCGCTTTTCTCGAAGCCCCACCCTCCCAACCCCGCCCCTCCCCGCCCAGCCACGCCCATTTCCGCCTCGGCCCACTAGTTATCTTCGAGGTCTCCCTCCCACCCAGAGGCTCCGCCCACTGCCCCGTCCCTGCCCACTAGTCACCCCTCCCGGTCTCCCGCCCTCCAGAGGCCCCGCCCCCGAGGCCCCGCCCCCCGCATCTGCGTCCCTGGCCCTCCCGGGCCGCGCGCCCAGAGCTGGCACGGAGCAGCGGCGGCCGTGGCGGCGGCGTCCGGGACCGGGGACGCAGGGCTGCGCCGGATACCGCGCCCCGAGAGCGCCAGCCCCTGCCGTGGCCTGCGGCTCGGACCCGACCTGCTAACGTCCCCCCTCGGGATTGCCCGGGGGTCCCCGCGTGCGGGCGCGTCCGGGCAGAGGGCGAGGGCGCCCCGCGGAGGGCGCACGGGAGAATCGCGGGGGGCGCACGGGGATCCCCGGGCGCGGCGGGGACCCGAGGGCCGCCGGCACAGCTCCCGGCGCGGGGCGGTTTCTGGAACTCTCCATCTTCGGCTCCGCCGGGCCCAGAGCAGCCAAGGACCCGGGTGTGCAGCTCGCCCGAGGTAAGCGGACTTGGCTACGTCGGGGTCCCGGGTCCCCAAGCCCCGCCGCGGGCCGCGGAGTGGAGTCGTGCGGGGGTGGGATCGTGGAGGGTGGGGGCCACGGGAGTGGGATCGTGGGGAGTGGGGGTCAGGGAGTGGGATCGTGCGGAGTGGGGGTCAGGGAGTGGGATCGTGGGGAGTGGGGGTCAGGGAGTGGGATCGTGGGGAGTGGGGGTCATAGGGAGTGGGGTTATGAGAAGTGGGGGTCCCGGGGAATCGGGTCACGGGGCGTGGGATCGTAGGGAGTGGGGGTCACGGGCAGTGGGGGTCAGGAAGTGGGATCGTGGGGAGTGGGGTTCAGGAAGTTGGATCGTAGAGAGTGGGGGTCATAGGGAGTGAGGTTGTGAGAAGTGGGGGTCCTAGGGAGTGGAGATCACGGCGCGTGGGATCATGAGGAGTGGGGGTCACGGAGAGTGGGATCATGGGGATTGGGGGTCCCGGGGAGTGGGGTCTCAGGGCGTGGGCTCGTGGGGAGTGGGGGTCATAGGGAGAGGGGTTCTGAGAAGTGGGGGTTCCAGGTAGTGGGGGTCACGGGGCGTGGGATCATGAGGAGTGGGGTCCCAGAGCATGGGATCGTGGGGATTGGGGGTCCCGGGGAGTGGAGGTCATGGGGCATGGGATTGTGGGGAGTGGGGGTCATGGGGCGTGGGATCATGGGCAGTGGGGTTCACGAGGCATGGGATCATAGGGAGTGGGGGTCACGGGGCGTGGGATCGTGGGGAGTGGGGGTCATGGGGCGTGGGATCGTGGGGAGTGGGGGCCTCGGGGCGTGGGGCCGTGCTCGGGGTGAAGTGCTCTGGGGCGCGGGGTTGGTAGGAAGGGGATGGAAATGCGCAACAGGCGGGGCGGGGCGGGAAAGGAGCGGGGCCGCTTCTCCTGCGGGGAGTCTGGGTGGAGAGGAAAGTTGCTGGGCGCAGAGCCGGGCTGGGCGGCCTTCCCTGGAGCTGGGCCCGAGCTCCCTCTGCCGGCGCCGGCGAGCTTGCTGGCTGCCACAGGTGAGCCCCGCGCAGGCGGCCAGGCGGGGGCCGCAGGGCCAGGGCCAGGCCCTGGGGTCAGAGCAGCCGGCCCAACACAGCTTGAGGCCAGGCCTTCAAGCAGCATTGCTTAAAAGGTCGTTTCTTTAACTCTCTTCTCCTGTGTCCTTTGTGAGACAGAGGAGAGCTGGCCTCATCTTCACCTTCACTTTGACTGAGAAATCCCAGGGGGCAAGCAGGGAAAGCGCTTGCAGGCCTACTGGCAGCCTGGGCTTTGTAGTTGCCTGTTGTCTGATAGCACACCTTCACATCCGAAAAGATCCTCAAGAGTTAATTTAGCCTGGACGGGACATCCGATTTATTGTAAGTCTACCTGTTGTTGTTGTTGTTATCAGATGGATGTAGACTGTTTAATTCCTCCTTTCGGCACACCTGTAGCCTCTGAGAATTGCTTTGCTTTGCTTTTGTCCCCAGAAAGGAGTGTAAGGCAAAAAGGAACAGAAAAGACCCAGCGCTGCTGAAGGGAGTAGAGGACTTGGGTTGTGCACAGGAGGCCGGTGGAGGGAGACCAGGAATGTTGTCTCTGTGATCATGCACCATGAAAAAGGGACTTTGAGATGAAGGCAGGAATCCCTGTTCGTGCTTGCAGTCCATGTCACACCTTGGATACTTGTTGAGGATGTTTTCCTACCAGAAATGGAAGAAGAAAAAAATCACAAACCAAGAAGCAGAAAAAGTTGAGAGGGATAATAACTCAATCCCTACCTCAAGAACAGGAGCACTTTATCATCATCCTCTTCTGTCACCTTGCAGAATCCTATGTTCTCCTTGGGTGCCTGGATCCCATCCATGGCTTGCTGTGCTAGGAGGGACTCTGAATTTCAGTTTGAGACTGCTTTCTCTCTTTCTTCCAACCTGGGTTTCAACTGTTGACTAAGTTATACTAAAGGAAGAACATGCTGAATTCATGCTGCTTTTAAACTGTTCTCTGTGTTATGGAATTCATACTCCTTGAAGATTCATTTTACTGGACACGAGAATGTTCCAGGGACACAGATCTGCAGTGTATGCGTTCCTTTCGTGACAACTGCAGGTGCCTTGAATGAGCTGCATGTCAGCTGGGTTTCACAGAATAGAAGACATAAAGTCTGTCTTCTGCAGTTCTCATCCTAAGGGTATCCTCAGCCCGCTCAACACTGTGCGTTGTTGACGTGTCTGCCTGAGAAAGGGATCTTCCCCATGGATCATGGCGTTGATGTTTACAGGACATTTCCTATTTCTGATATTGCTGGTGTTTGGTTTGTCTACTTGTGAAGAGTCTGTGGGTAATTACTCTGAATGGGCAGTCTTCACCAAGAATATAGATGAGTTTACACAGAGAGTGAAAGACTTCAGGCCCCACCAAAAGCCCAGGAGAAATCTACTTCATCCAAACTTATATTTTGATGCCGGAGAAGTCCAGGCGATGAGACAAAAGTCGCGCACAAGTCATTTGCATCTTTTCCGAGTGATCCGAAGCGCGGTGACCGCCATGCTAGCCAACCCCACGTATTACCTACCTCCACCCAAGCACGCTGACTTCACTGCCAAGTGGAACGAAATCTACGGTAACAATCTGCCTCCTCTAGCTCTGTACTGTCTGCTGTGCCCTGAAGATAAGGGTGCCTTTGACTTTGCCTTGGAGTACATGGACAGGATGGCTGGCTACAAGGACTGGCTGGTGGAGAATGCCCCGGGAGATGAGGTTCCAGTTGGCCATTCCTTAACAGGCTTTGCCACTGCCTTTGACTTTTTATACAACCTATTTGATAATCATCGGAGACAAAGATACCTGGAAAAGATATGGATGGTGACCGAAGAAATGTATGAATACTCTAAGGTTCGGTCCTGGGGAAAACAACTCCTCCACAACCACCAAGCTACTAATATGATAGCGTTACTCACCGGAGCCTTGGTGACCGGGATGGATAAAGGATCTCAAGCAAACCTCTGGAAGCAGGTGGTGGTAGATGTGATGGAAAAGACCATGTTTCTCTTGAATCACGTCGTCGATGGCTCTTTGGATGAGGGCGTGGCTTATGGGAGCTACACAGCCAAGTCTATCACCCAGTATGTGTTTCTGGCGCAGCGCCACTTTAATATAAACAACTTGGATAATAACTGGTTGAAGACACACTTTTGGTTCTATTATGCTACCCTTTTGCCAGGTTTCCAAAGAACGGTAGGTATTGCGGATTCTAATTATAATTGGTTTTATGGTCCCGAGAGCCAGCTGGTCTTCTTGGATAAGTTCATCCTGAGGAATGGGGCTGGTAATTGGTTAGCTCAGCAAATCAGAAAGCACCGGCCTAAAGATGGACCCATGGTTCCCTCCACTGCCCAGAGGTGGAGCACTCTTCACACCGAGTACATCTGGTATGACGCCCAGCTCACCCCGCGGCCCCCAGCTGAATACGGCACTGCCAGAATGCACACTTTTCCTAACTGGGGTGTGGTCACTTATGGGGCTGGCCTGCCAAACACACAGACCAACACTTTCGTGTCTTTTAAATCCGGGAAGCTGGGGGGCCGGGCTGTGTATGACATCGTTCACTTCCAGCCCTACTCCTGGATTGATGGATGGAGGAGCTTTAACCCAGGACATGAACATCCAGATCAAAACTCCTTTACCTTTGCCCCCAATGGGCAAGTATTTGTTTCTGAAGCTCTGTACGGACCCAAGCTGAGCCACCTTAACAACGTGTTGGTGTTCTCCCCCTCACCCTCCAGCCAGTGCAATCAGCCCTGGGAAGGACAGCTGGGAGAATGTGCCCAGTGGCTGAAATGGACGGGGGAGGAGGTGGGTGACGCAGCTGGGGAAATTGTCTCTGCCTCTCAGCATGGGGAGATGCTGTTTGTCAGCGGGGAAGCCGTCTCGGCTTATTCTTCAGCCATGAGGCTGAAGAGTGTGTATCGTTCGTTGCTTCTCTTGAATTCTCAGACTCTGCTCGTGGTGGATCACATTGAAAGGCAAGATGCGTCCCCCATAAATTCCGTCAGTGCCTTCTTCCATAATTTGGATATTGACTTTAAGTACATCCCCTATCGGTTTATGAACAGGTACAATGGAGCCATGATGGATGTGTGGGATGCACACTACAAGATGTTTTGGTTTGATCCGCACGGCAACAGCCCTGTGGCTAGCATCCTGGAAGCAGAGCAAGCCGCTGAGTTTAAGAAGCGGTGGACTCAGTTTGTAAATGTCACGTTTCGCATGGAGTCCACAGTCACGAGAATTGCCTACATCTTTTATGGCCCTTATGTCAACGTCTCCAGCTGCAGATTCATCGATAATTCCAAGTCTGGACTTCAGATTTCCCTCAATGTCAATAATACCGAACACGTCGTTTCCATTGTCACTGACTACCATAATCTGAAGACCAGATTCAATTACCTGGGGTTTGGGGGCTTTGCCAATGTGGCTAATGAAGGCCAAATAACCCGATTTGGTTTGGGCACTCAGGCCATAGAGAAGCCTGCCACCCACAACAGCGACATTTTCCCCTTTGGATTTAAGTTCAATCTAGCAGCTGGGTTAATCTTGTGCGTAAGCTTGGTGATTTTAACCCTTCAGTGGCGGTTTTACCTGTCTTTTAGAAAGCTAATGCGTTGGGTTCTTGTCCTGGTCATGGCCTTGTGGTTTATCGAGCTCCTGGATGTGTGGAGCACCTGCACTCAGCCCATCTGTGCGAGATGGACGCGGGCAGAGGCCCAGGTGAGCGAGAAGGACGCATCTTCACAAGGCCCCCACGTCCCTCTTCCCGATGTCCTCATCGCCTCACTCCCAGGCTCAGGAGCTGAGATTCTCAAGCAGCTGTTTTTCAACAGCAGTGATTTTCTTTACATCCGAGTTCCGACCGCTTACATCGATATCCCCGAAACCGACTTGGAAGTGGACTCCTTTGTGGATGCTTGCGAATGGAAGGTGTCGGATATCCAGGGCGGGCGTTTCCGTTTACTCCGCGGCTGGTTGCAGTCTTTAGTCCTGGACACAAAACTACACTTGCAGAACATCCATCTGCATGAACCCAGTAAAGGCAGACCGGCCCAGTATTCCCCAATGAGTAAGGACAAGAAAAGAAAACCGAAAAGGAGAGAGTCCTTGCCAGAACAAAGAAGTAGAATGAAAGGCACCTTTGACCGGGAAGCTGAATATATTAGAGCTTTGAGAAGACATCTGGTCTATTACCCAGGTGCACGGCCTGTGCTCAGTTTAAGTAGTGGGAGCTGGACATTAAAACTCCATTTTTTTCAGGAAGTTCTGGGGTCTTCGATGAGGGCCTTATACGTCGTGAGAGACCCTCGGGCATGGATTTATTCCATGCTGTACAGCAGTAAACCAAGTCTTTACACGTTGAAGAATGTCCCAGAACACTTGGCCAAGCTGATAAAAGGCAAATGCAACTTGAATTCAGGGTATGCTTTTGAGTATGAGCCCTTGAAGAAGGAATTAGCAAAACCCAAAGCCAACATGGTCTCCGTATTGTCTCATTTGTGGCTGGCAAACACAGCAGCAGCCTTGAGAATAAATGCAGATTTGCTTCCTGCCAACTACCAGCTGGTCAAGTTTGAAGATATTGTGCTTTCTCCTCAGAAGACTACTGAAAGGATTTTTGCATTCCTTGGAATTCCTTTGTCTCCTGCTACTTTAAACCAAATATTGTTTGCCACTTCCACGAACCTGTTTTACCTTCCTTACGAAGGGGAGATATCACCGATGAATATTAATATTTGGAAACAGAACGTGCCCAGAGATGAGATTAAATTAATTGAAAACATCTGTGGGACACTGATGGATCGCCTAGGATATCCAAAGTTTATGGACTGAAAGCTGCAGGTCAGCGGGAATTTGCACTAAATCTTCCCAACCCACCTTGTGAAAATGAACTGAAAGAGTTTGTTTATTCTTGTATTCTGTGTGTGTGTGTGTGTGTGTGTGTGTGTGTGTGTGTATGTATGTATGTATGTATGTATGTGCGTGCATTCAATCTGTTCCTTGCACAGAGAGATTATTTTAAAAAAAATAGACACCATATTTGGCCTAGCAGGATTTATTTTTATGTTACCACTTTTGTTGCCTTTGTTTCTAAAGTGTTGGGTTTTTTTCCCTGCAAAATGTTTCTGCTGCAGTGATGTAGATAAAATTATATTATGAGGGAACCCAGGAAAATGGGAAGCTCTTAAAGGATTTTGTGTTATTCATCTTCTTGAACTGTGCTAATCTATCCTGGGATCTCACACAATCTAAAGGCCTTGCAAGTACAGCTCTCCCAATCTATCCTGCTCTCCAGATGGACGCCACACTTCCCTATCTTTTGAAGAAGGTCTTCTAACACTTACCTGGCACAAAGAAAAAGAAATAAAAAAAGAATTTTGTTTACTTTGTACAATGTACAGTATATTATCTTTGGGAGAATGGTGAGTTGTTTTTTTTTTAAATCAGAGGATTCTTTCTGGAAAATACAGATGAAAATCTGGAATAAAGTTATTTTGTTTTAGATCCAAAGCAGCGACCTGTAAAGCATCTTTAAAGTGTTTCTTTTTTCTTTCTTTCCTTTTTTTTTTATTTAGAAATACTGTGAGATGACTGTAAACATGTTGAGTGCTAAAGGCTGTAGATTATTTAAGACATGCTTGTTTGTTTAAAACTTTCCTTTGGGTTCCTTGAAACTACATCTGTATACCCTCGTATCATTCCTCCCCTGTCCTTCCCAAAGCTAGCAAGCAAAGCTCAGTCATTACTAGTCTATAATGTCCTGGCATTTGTGGAGATTTATTTTTCCTCTGATTAATTCTTTATAGTAAAGACTGACACAGATGTAGAATCAAATTTAATTTTGTGACATGAGCCCTATATGAATCGGAAGCAATGCAGTGTTTCCAGTGGTTGTGGGAGTTTTGTTTGTTTGTTTTTTTAGTAAGACTGGACAAAGAACTGGAAAACTACCAAACTTATCTCAAATCCCTCTGGGTGAGTTTCCAGACTGCTCATATCTGCCCAAGCTGAAGGCCACTGGGAGATGATGTCAGAGGCATCTGTTTCCTGTCCCATCTGCACCTTGTTATAAACATAGTCCACATAAAATGCAGTTCATTTCACTCTGCTAGATTGTCAACTCAGAAATGCCCTGCCATTATTAGCTAGTGGAGTAGTGATAGCGCATGGGGGTGTAGGCCTCCTCAGTCAGTGTTGAGATCTGATGGGAATCCGCACAGAGCGCACTCTCCTTGCAGATGGCTGAAACTCCCAACTGCACTTTCCTCAACCTGGCTAGCACTTGCAGTCTATCATCTGACCTAGATAAAAGTGCTTCTGTCACAGTAGTTTCTTATTATGTCAAAACATGCCTGCAGAGTGATAAAAGTCCTGGCCATGTTACATTTCAGCTAAACATAACTTGGTTGTCATTTCCCTTGCATTGTGGTATGAGCTGAGACAGCCCCTCTTCCCCCCCCCCCCCCCCCGCCCAACCCCCCAGCCCTTCACAGAGCTCTCATCATGTATAATGTCACTGACTAATACTAATGTTTGGAAACATGAATGGAAAACATATTAATACAGGTTGAAAGGGCATTGGAGATGGAGAGACAGCTCTAAGATGGTGAAGGAAGATGATTCTATCTCAGGGTTAAAAGCAAACGAGAGATCGCTGCAGGAAGGATAATGCTATTTCCAATATTGGGCAGAGTGTCTGTGTTTGCTTTCAATTCTCAGAATGTGTGATCTCAGATCAGGATGAATCAAAAGGCTCTGGTGGTGGGAGTCATATTTGGTCTATCCAGGGTAAGAACTACAACTGTGTTCAGACATCAGACAAATCAGCAAGAAACTATTATTGTCTTTCTTTGGGGCCAAATGGGATATGCAGTCATAGGAGAAAAGATGCTGAAATTGGGGTGCAGGGTGGAAACCAATTCTGAGACTGAATTTGAGAATAAGTTGATAGGAAAAGCAAAATGAAATAAAGCAAGAGCATCTTAGTGTGTCCTGAATTTCAGCCCAACACAGCAATACAGAATTGTATCACCCTGTCCCTCTACTACGCTCACTGATTCCTACCTCAGATTTTAGACTTGTTAAGTCTTGAATGTTTGCTGCCAAAAGACTCTTTTCATCCCTCTGTGAGGAACTCGAAGTCTGGGTGGGGGAATGAGCTATGCGCTGCTCTTCTAGGCATCTGTCACGCCCGAGACCTCTGCCTCTATCCAAAGTTGAGGTGATCAACTCCTAGCATATCTGCAGCTCTGCACACACAGAGAATCCTAAGAAACATTTAACATGCCTCTGCCCTTATGCTGATTTTTGTCATCTTGCCAATAAGGAAGAATTGTGATTACCTGCCACTTTTTTTTAAATGCAAAAACAAAAAAACTTTACAAAATGTCCAGCCCCATTCTTTATGAACTGCCAAAGCTTAGGCCTAATCGGGATAGATATATTGTGTTTATGTAATACCCTTGAGATTTTAAAAAGATGACCGTGGCTGGCAAACAAAAAATCAAATTAAATGTAATTTTAATCTGATTTTGAAAGCTTGCACATACTATATGTTTCCTCAGGACGCAATAGAAGACCATAGGTAGCGTTCAATTGCTCTAAAGAAAAGCCCAGAGAAGAAATAGCAGAAATTCCTTGACATGGCTAAGCTTGGCTTTCATGGATAGAATTTAACCTTAAATTTTATCAAGAAGATGACACATAATATGTATACAATAGGCCTAAACTCCAAAATATTACACATTTAGTTGTCTTTTAAATTAATTAATGTTTGATAAGAGTAGTAATGCCCTTATTTTATGTCACCTGCCAAAGAAAGACGACCTGCCACATTGCACCTCCTCTCTCTCCACATTCCCTCATGTCTTAAAAGACCCTTTTATATATAGTCCAGGTGCCTGTGGCTCACCCCTGTAATCCTAGCTACTCAGGAGGCTGAGATCTGAGCATCGCGGTTCCATGCTAGCCTGGGCAGGAAAGTCTGTGGGACTCTTGTCTCCAGTAAACCACCAGAAAACCAGAAGGCATGCTGTTGCTTAAGTGGTACAGTGCTAGCCTTAAGCTGAAGAGCTGAGGGACAACACCCAGGCCCAGAGTTCAAGCCCCATGACCAACAAAAACAAAAGAACACTTTTATAAATGTGTTACTTCCCTACTCTGCACTTATTTTGATTGGTATAGTTCTATGTTCCACCACTGATCCTTGGCATTCTTTTTACTTAAAGCATTCCATATTTAATTATCCATAATTGAACTGATTATTTTAAAATTGCATTGTTTGGTGATTATAATTACAGAAATTTTTGTAGATTAGGAAAAAGTTAATAGCAGCATAACACTGTTTTCACAAGTAATAATGCCTACCATTCCAAGATATATCAAGACATTGAATAGACAGATTATATATCTACTGATTGGTATGTTTGTTTGATTTCTTGATTAATCATTAATGCATTTTGGCAGAATAATTATCCAAACTTTTAAGTTCTAAATAATTTCAGATTTTTGCATCAAGGATGACAGGCCCTTAGAAACTATAGACTCTAACATTCTCTAATGTTAATTTGTAGATACATGAGCTAAAATTTATGTAAGTTTAGGTTGTATAAAATCCAAACTTGATGGTTCCTATTTCTGGAGATATTTCCATGAAGTCTTCCAAACTATGGGATTTTTTTAAACTTGATTTTCTTTTACACCTTTCCCAATTATGTAGCAAAAAAAAATCCCTTAAAATCATAAACTTTAATTTGTCCACTATATAAGCCTAATAAGACCATTACTTAATACAAACACGAAAACCTAAAAAAAAACCAAAAAACAAAAAATGCAAACAAAAAAAAGTATTTTGAGTATTGTTAGGATATTTTTTCCATGCTCTTATTCTAGTTCTTTAGGTTACATTAAGATTTTGTATGGCAAAGGAAGCAAAATTATAAAATGCACGAGAAATACAATGATATCCAGTACTGTAAATTTAGTCACTAAACTTAAATTCCTTGTGCTACAGTGATGGCCAAGCATCTTCCTGCTCTATTAATTTTATCCCAACCCTGGCTTTCCAATTTTTAAAGATGAGCCTGTATTAAGAACCTGTGTCCACCCCTCCACACCCTCTCCCAGACATGATGTAGTTAAAATACCTGAGGCATACTAAATATAATAAAGGCATAGGGAAGGCTATGTTTGAAAATAAGGATTTATCATGAATTAACATGTGCTTTGCTCAGTTATAAGGATTTCATGCATCTCATTACATGCAACTCTCACCTCTGTTCATCTTGAACCTAAATTTGAAACTGATAGCCAGTTATTTGTCAAAGTGGGTTTAGCATTTTCCAAATCTAAAGTTCTCTGGAAGAAATTGAGGAGTATTTTCATTCACTCCTTCCAAGCTTAAAAAAAACCCTCTGAATCTTTCTGCAGATGAAATATGATAAACTGGTATAATCTGAGCAGATACCGTGTCACAGTACATACTAAAGGATGCTCCCGATTCATGCTGATTCTGCATCGCTTTGCCTCTCTTGATAGGCGTGTAATTACTTTTTTTCAAGTGTGTTAATTCTGGTGTTAAATTTTATAGGAGTATCTCCGTTTTATATATTGCCTAGATTTGCAGTGTTCTTCCAAGATTTGTCTCCCTCTCTAAACTTGGGATATATCCATCGCTTCTCATCACTTAAGGAGAGAAATGTTCAAGTATACAGTGCTCCAGAGGTCAGTTTCTCACCAATCCCTACTTTCCACATGCACTAAATCAACAATGGAAACTCTTCTACCTGCACCCTAATTACACACACACACACACACACACACACACACACACACACACACACACACACACACACTGCTTAATTTAATCATCACAGCACACAAAGAATGAACCAACTTTGGCTGAAACATTACTGTTTGTTGGTGCTTAATTGTTTTAATGATAAATTGACATGTTGATTCCTCTATTTTGTTGCAAAAGACAGAATATAGCTCTTTAAAATATATTGAGTCACTTCAATTTGAAAATTTATTTCAATATTTCAAAAACTTTAAGTGCAGTATATACATACGTGTAATATACATGTATATATTGTATGTATGTATATATGCACATGTATATTCCTATGCATGTATACATATGTATCCATCCATACACGTGAATATACAATACACATATATGAATATACATG